TGATTAATGTTCTTTTAAAAAATTTTTTTTAGCTGTAGTTGGACACAATATTTTTTTAATTTATTTTTTATATACATGACAATAGTGGAATGCATTACACTCTGGACACAATATCTGTATTTTATTTTTTTTTTAAAGAGAGAGAATTTTAATATTTATTTTTTAGTTTTTTCGGTGGACACAACATTTTTGTTTGTATGTGGTGCTGAGGATCGAACCCGTCTTGCACGCATGCCAGGCGAGCACGCTACCATTTGAGCCACATCCCCAGCCCAACAATATCTTTATTTTTATATGATGCTGAGGATTGAACCCAGTGCCTCACATATGTAAGGCTCTACCACTGAGCTACAACCCTAGCCCAATTAATGTTCTTTTTTTAATATTTATTTTTTAGTTTTAGGTCGACACAATGTCTTTATTTTATTTTATTTTTTTTATGTGGTGCTAAGGATCGAACCCAGTGCTTCATTCGTGCTAGGTGAGCACTCCACCACTGAGCCACAACCCCAGCCCTAATGTTCTTCTTAAAGATTAGTTTTTTATTTTATTGATCCTTTCTAATGGTTGATGTTGTTTACTATTTTCTTTATGTCTGATTTTTTGTTCCTTTTATCAGTGTTCTTTTTTAACATCTTGAGTTAAAAGCATGGGTCATTTATTTTCAGTCTGCCTTTTGATGAAGGGTTTTAAATTTTATGTTTTTAATTAAAATGAAGTAAAATTGGCTTTTTTGGTATACACATGTTTAGATACTTGTAACTACCACAGTGAGGATATAGAATCCTTTGATCACCCCCTATACTCTCTTATGTTACTTCCACTTTGAAGTCATATCCTCCCTCTACTCCAAACCTCTGGCAGTCCCTGATCTGCTCTTTATCATTGTAGCTTTGCCTTTGCCAGAAAGTCTTATAAATGGAATTGTGCTGTATGATATTTTGAGACTGGCATTTTTACTCAGCAGAATGCCTTTAAGATTCATTAATGGCTTGAGTCTTTGTGTCTTTTCTCCTTTTTTTATTGATTAGTTTAGCTATAAGTACTTGCCAGTTTTATTGAGTTAACTTGGTTTTCTTGATTCTATTGCTTTTCTAGTCTATTTCATTTATTTCTCATCTTTATTATTTCTCTCTAGCTTTGGGTTTAGTTTGGTCTTCTTTTTCTTAGCTTTTTGAAGGAATATTATGGAAGTTAGGCTATTGATTTAAGATCTTTCATGTCTTTACATGAAGGTATTTTCAGCTATAAACTTTTGCTGTATCCCGTAGGTTTTGGTATGTTGTGTTTTTTTATCCATCTTATAATTTTTCATACTCACACTTTTGATTTCTTCTTTGGCTATTTTAGAGAGTGTTATTTAATTTCTACCTGTTTTTTTTAAAAAATTTTTCCATTTATCCTTCTGTTTAATGATTTTTAGTTTCATTCCATTGCAGTTTGAAAAAATATTTTGTATAATTTTAGCTTCTTTTTTTTTAAAGAAAGGAGAGAGAGAGAGAGAATTTTTAATATTTATTTTTTAGTTCTCGGCAGACACAACATCTTTGTTGGTATGTGGTGCTGAGGATCGAACCCGGGCCGCACGCATGCCAGGCGAGCGCGCTACCGCTTGAGCCACATCCCCAGCCCAATTTTAGCTTCTTTTTGTTTGTTAAAAATATTTTTAGTTGTAGATGGATGTAATATCTTATACCTTTCTTTTATTTATTTTTATGTGGTGCTGGGGATCAAACCCATTGCCTCCCACGTGCAAGGCAAGTGCTCCATCACTGAGCGACGCAACTCCAGTCCTGATTTTGGTTTCTTAATACACAATAAGACTAATTTTGTTACCTAATATGTAGTATGTTCTGGAGAATGTTTCCTGTACACTTGAGAAAAATGTGTTTCCTATTCTTTTTGTGTGGAGTGTTCTATACTTGTCCATAAGGTCTAATTGGTTTAGAATGTTTTCAAGTCTTTTATTCCCTTATTTATCTTCTCTCTGCGTGTTTTATATAGAATCAAAAGTGGAACATTTAAGTCTCCAGTTATTCTTGTAGAATTGCTGTTTTCCTTCAATTGTGTCAGTGTTTCATATATTTTGAGATTCACTCATTAGGGGTGTGTTTGTGTGTGCGCACTCCTGTGTGCGTTTGATTGTTACATGTTCTTGGATTGGCCAGATTATGTAATTCTCTTCTTTGCATCCTGTAACAGTTTTCAACTTGCAGTGTAATTTGCCTGGTGTTAGCATAGTCACTGCAGCTTTCTTTTTGGTTGCTATTTGCGTGGAGTGTGTTTTTACAGCATTTTGCTTTCATCTTAGTTGTTTGTTTCAGATCTTGCAGATGATATACTATTGGATCATATTTTCACTTCATTCTCCCAATCTCTCTCTTTGGATTGATGACTTTAATTTGTTTGCATTTAAAGTGATTACCAATAAGAAAGAATTTTTGCTATTTTACTATTTTTTGTTGTTGTTGTTTTTGTTGTTGCTATTGTTTTAGAGACGAGGTCTCACTCTGTTGCCTAGGCTGGCCTCAAACTTTTGAGCTTAAGCAATCCTCTTGATTTAGCTTCCTGGCTATACAGGTCTCTGCTGTCTCACCTAACCATGATTTGTCTTCTATATGTCTTATAACTTTTTGGTTTCTCAGTCTTCTTTTATCTCTTTTTTATGCTTAATTGCTTTTTTTGTAGTGTACTGATTTGATTCACTCATTTCCTTTTTTTTTATTTTCATAGTAATTACTCTGGGAATTAAAATTAACATCCTTACATTTAACAGTCTAGTTCCATAGCCTACAAAAACTTGGCTCCTAGGGGCTGAGGTTGTGGCTCAGTGGCAGAGTGCTTGCCTAGCATGTGTGAGGCACTGGGTTCGATTCTCAGCACCATATAAATAAAAAATAAAGGTCCATCAACAACTAAAAAGTAATTAAAAAAAACCAACTTGGCTCCTATATACCTCTACCTCCTCCCTAGTGTTTTTTGATCCCAAATTACTTCTTCATGCATTGTATTCCTATTGACACAGATTTATAGCTAATTATTTTACACATTTATCTTCTAAATCACTTAGGAAACAAAAAAGAGGATTTATTTATATATTTTTTTTAATACTGGGGTTCAAACCAGAAAGAGGATTTAGAAGCCACAAATACTATAATCCTTTTATATTTACTTTTATGGGGGTTATTTTAGCTTCAAGTTACTCTTTATTATCCTTTCATTTCAGCCTTAAATACCGCTTTATCATTTCTTGAAGGCAAGGTATATAATGACTAAATAACCCCAGATTTTAGGGTTTTTAAAAATGTCTTATTTCTTGTCTATCTGGTGTGGTCTCTGCACCCATGTCAAAAATCATTAGCCAAGCCAGGCATGGTGGCATATACCTGTAATCCCAGTGGCCCAGGATTCTGAGACAGGAGGATATTGACTTTAAAGCCAACCCCAGCAACTTAGCAAGGCCCTGAGTAACTCAGTGAGACTGTCTCTCTAAATAAAATACAAAAAAAGGGCTGAGGATATGACTCAGTGGTTAAGCACCCCTGGATTCAATTCCCCATTACCAAAAAAGAAAAGAAAAAGAAAAAATCATTGGCCAGCCAGGCATGTTGGTGAACACCTATGGTCCCAGATACTCAGGAGGCTGATGCAAATTTAAGGCAAGCTTGGGCAATATAGTGAGATGCTATCTTAAAAAACATAAAGGGCTGGGGATGTAGCTTAATAGCAGACAGAGCACCCTGGGGTTCATTCTCTGGTAGCACAGAAGTCATTAGAAAGTTTTCTTTTCTTTTTTTTTTTTATTCTTTTTTTTATTGTTGGTTGTTCAAAATATTACATAGTTCTTGATATATCATATTTCACATTTTGATTCAAGTGGGTTATGAACTCCCATTTTACCCCGTATACAGCTTGCAGAATCACATCAGTTACACTTCCATTGATTTACATATTGATATACTCATGTCTGTTGTATTCTGCTGCCT